CTTCCTGGCATTGCCTGAAATCACAGTCCTTTTGATCTTAACCTCCCAAATAGCTAATATGACTGAGGCTGAGGAGTCTCAAGACTTTTCTTCTGAGGCTGGCCTTGAACCACAGTCCTACCATTCTCAGCCTCCCAAGTAGCTAGGATCACAAGCAAGAGCCTTTGGTGTCTGGCCATTTTTTATTGACTTCGTGATAGGAAAATGTTGTCATGTTCTGATGATGAGATTCCCTTTGGGGCAGGTTGTTAGTGCTGGTGTTGAGTTATCGGGTGCTCAGCCTTCGTGGGAGGCTAGTGCGGAGCCTTGCCTGCCATCTTGCTGGGTGCTGCTATGCAGATATATCCTCTGCCCCTGCTGTAAGGGGTTGTGGCCGTCAGTGGGGCCTCCACAATCTCCCATTAAGGGCTGAATATTTTTCCACCTTCTGAGTTGATTTCTGTTTCTCTAGAGGCTGTATTTTACAGAATTGAATTGACACTTGATGGTAAACAGTTCAAGTTTAGAAAGACCAATTTGCTGTCATCAGTGAGTATAGACATCCTTTACAATTTGCCTTGATTAGCACTTTCTTCTGTAACTTCATTTAACTAGATAGTAATTGCATGAGTGGTAATTTCATTCTTCCCACAGTATGCTCTTTAAAAGTTTTCTGGTCATCTTTTTTTCTTTTTTCTTTTCTTTTTTCTTTTTGTAGGTCTTGGGGCTTGAACTCTGGGCCTGGGTGCTGTCCCTCAGCTCTTCAGCTCAAGGCTAGCGCTCTACCACTTGAGCCACAGCACCACATCCAGCTTTTTCTGCTTATGTGGTGCTGAGGAATCAAACCCAGGGCTTCATGCATGCAAGGCAAGCACTCTACCACTGAGCCACCTTCCCAGCCTTCTGGTCATCTTCTTGAACTTCCACATCAGAGTAGCAGGAAAGAGCTGTCCCTGGACCTGGAATTTGACAGTTGAAGTTTAGTCTCGGCCACCCAGGTGTGGACCCCCACACCTGCTTTCCTCTGAGCAACACCAGTCTTGATCTTGCTTTACTGTTGTCCAAAAGATTGGATTTTAAGTAAAATGGAATGTCACTATCATGTTTTAATGAGAAAACAAGGCATACATGCAACCAAAGGACTTGGTGTGTTATATCAGAGATGGAGATGTGCGGAGGTGCATCCTGGTTTGATTTGACAAGGCATCACAGTTCTCTAGACTGTGAAATAGGCAAGACAGCTCTTTCCCCCACACATACACAAGTTCTCCGGCCCTTGCTCTCCTCCTCCTCCTCCTCCTCCTCCTCAGAATCTCAGCCTTTCCTTACCCTCCTCACTCTAGCTACAGCTACTCTTCAAGAACCCACTCCCTTCTTGCTCATTGTCTGTCCCAGAGCTATCATCTTCCCTAGGGCACTGTGGACTTCAGGCTTTGCATCCGAATGTGGTAGGTTGAGGCTCACAGGACATAATTATCTCTGCAACAGAAGACTGTAAATTGTACAGAAGGCAAAACATGGCTCCCTAAAGTGTCAAAAATCCTACATTGACAGAGAGCCCCACGTCTCCCAGCCCACAAGACTTAGCCTAACTATAGCTCAGAGACTGATGCACTGTGGTTGCAGTGGCAAAGAAGATAAGTCTTGTCTCTGCCCCCCAGGAGGGGAAGTGGAGCACCACTTCTTGGTGTAGGGTAAACCAGGAAGCATAAAGCAAGATCAAATATGAAGTCGGTGTTTGAAGTTGACCAATATAAAGTAAGAATTCCGAGGGACCTTTGAGGAGCATGTTTTATTTATTAAGGGGACTAGAAAACAATTTGGGGCAGTGCCCAGATGGAAGTCAGACCCTATGAACAAAGATGCTGGTTTTCTTGTGGTGCTCAGGATGCTCCTGGATGGTATGGAATGACCCTGCTGCCTCCTCCGGACCTGGAGGTGGAGTCACAGGTGGTCCAGAGCTGCTTAGGTGTCTAATATCTGGCCAGTTTGGTAACTGCTTTCTGTTAGGGCAGGAAGAAAGCACATCCCTCCTTCCCAGGGCATTGGCTCCACATCCTGATGGGATGCGATTATATTTTTAAAAAATTTAAAAAAAAATACTAGACTATATACTGTGACTATGCTGTTAGCTACTCAGGAGGCTAACACCAGAAGGATTCGAGTTCAAAGCCAGCCCAGGAAGAAAAGTCTATAATATGTCATCTCCAATTAACCATCAAAAAGCTGGTCTGAAGGCATGGTTCAACTGGTAGAGCACCAGCTGTGAGCAAGCAGCTAAGCACAAAGCCTTAAGTTCAAGACCCCATACCAAAAAGAAAAAGAAAAGGATTGGAGAAAAGCACCTTGATGGAGAAAAATATTTTAATGCTTAAATATTTCCCCTCCCTTTATAAAGCATTTGCAATGTTCATTATATTCATGGCTTTTTGAAGGAATAATGCTATACTGAGCATGACTGGATCTTAGATCAGAATTCGAACAAAAGTTTTCTTTGTTTCAATTGCACTTTTCTATCAGTCTGCTCTCACAAAAATACAATAAAGTGCAGTTATAATATTCTCATCATTATATTAGAAATACTTTAGAGCTCAGACTGCCTTGCATGTTGATCAATAAAACATTGAAATGTGTTCTAGTGCTCTTGTATAAAACACACATTAAAAGAACACATTCCAGGAAAAGGTCATTGCTATGGAATAAGACTATGCGGTGGTGGGGGCCGGCTCAGGGAAGGGTGTGTAGAAGTGACCCCCAACAGAGCCCCCTGTCTCTGGGGAATGTTTGGGTAAGCCAGAACAAGCGAATTCTCTAACATTACATAAGCTGCTCTAGCAAGAGCATGAGTCAGTGATGGTCAGGGGGCAGCTGACCAACTGATAGGCAAGGTGGGTTTCCAAAAGTCTCCCTAGGAAATTTGTCTAATGACCTGGCATGCTAACGTTGCTCAGAGACATCCAGAATAGTTAGCGCTTCAGTGTGTGTGTTGTTTTCAGGGAAGGTAGCACAGCATGCAGCTACTTAAAGAAAAGGAGAAATGTGTACTGACATATTAATCTCGCCACATCAGGGATTGAGTTGAGGTTTAGTCTTCGTGTAAAAATATTCAGCACTTCTTGCAGTGAGCTCCTGGGCAGGCAGAGGGTTCCGTCTCGTGGTGAAAAGCCTGCAGCCTCTTCCTTCAGATCAAGCTTATGAGAAAGACAAGTGTAAAGGACAGTTCTTCCCTCACATTCGGCGGAGCTCAGGCTCACCTCTGGCGTAACGCTGCCTCACGGCGAGCTCATCACTGACCCCCAAGCTGGGTCCCTTGGTGAGCTTACCTAGTAGAGCCCGCTTGGCCTCCAGCGGAGGAGGCAGGAGGGCACAAGAGCAGGTGAGCCTTTTCTGCCGGCGGTTCGCCAAATCTATATGATTCCTCACACCACAGAATATTCTAAAACAACAAAAGTGAAAAGTTTTTGTTTTACGTAACGTATGAATTTCATCTTGTGGATTTTTCAAACCACCCAATAAAAATGTGCTCAGAGCTCTACATTTGGGTTTAAAATAGAGATTGTACTTTCCATTTGGTTGTTAAATGAGGCTGGGGTGGGAGGGAATTACTAAATTTGATTCTCCTTTTCTTGGTTGTAGAATCTGTGTCTTTCAGGAAGGACTGGCCCTTGGGATTCAGCATAATCTTATTACAGAGACAAGGGAGAGGGGTGCTGCCTGGAAATGCCTTCCTCAGGTTTATGCCAGGTGTGCCCCAATACAGGTCTACAGGTACCATCTTTCAGTTGGGAGGTGATTCCAGAGAGAAGAGAGAGGGTGGGGGGCAGGGCGGAAGGTCAGCTATCGAAAGCAGCTACCTAGAGGGGCAGCAGGACTTTGAAGGACATGTGGGATGTGTGAGAAGGTCATTGTCTGAGATACAGGAAAATGTGAGATGCACGCGCGCGCACACACACACACACACACACACACACACATACACACAATGAAGTTAATCAGCCATTATGAAGAGTTAAATCATGCCACTGACTATGGGAAAAGGAGGTCATAGAAGTGCAAAGGAGATAGTGAAGATGTAGAAGGGAGAAGACAAAGGTAGGGAAGGAAGGAGTCAGAAAGAGAAGTAGAGCGGTTGAATACAATCAAGGTGCATTCAATTGTCATGTGCATGTATGAAAATTCTGTGATGAAGTCTTTCACTTTGTACAATTAAATTTTTAGAGGATTATAAATATGTGCTTTCCTTTAAGAGAATGGAGACGTTTTCACTCTAAAATTAGGCTCTACTAAAGTAAGTACAATATTACATAGTAACATTTCTTGTTTACTGGATGTACTGACTCCACCAAACAAAAACAAACAGATTTTTGTTTGCTTGCTGTTATGATTTCCTTGTGGTCCACCTGTGGTTTCTTATATATTGGCAGATATATTTCATAGATACTTGGCAGAAGTTAATATTTCTAACTCCACTCCCAGAATAGTTGCGAATCGCTAGAGGAGACTGGCTGTTTGTCATAGAGGAAATGAAATACTGGGAAATGTATGACTGCCGTTTTTAGGAAGTATGGGATATTAACTGCCTTTCCGAAGTGACATCAAGCTTGTGCTTTGTCTCTCAAATGAACAAGCTCCAAAAATGAGTGTTTTTATCTCAGTCTGACCACTCATTTCTCGGATTTTAATATAATTCCTGTTCCACTACTTTGGAATCAAAAATAGATAAATAATATCCTTTGGGAAATAAGTTTGCCTGTCTTGTTACTCATGGGGAACTTCTCATATGTTTAGAACTCAATAAATTATAAGCTCAATAAATAATAAGCAATATTGCACAGTCTGACCTTATAGCACTGGTTGGCTTTTATTTCTTTCTATTTGTATTTCTAGAATCTATGTTTCAACTTAGAGGAAAGCATGCCCGCCAAGCCCCCCTTACAAGTCTGTGGTGATCTGGACTAGCGCTCGGTTGTCTCCATAGTCATCAGAAACCTGTGCATTGTTCCTTCCCTGCCTCACTCTAGGAGCGCCTCCTGCTGTCCTTGCTGCCAGCACACATAGCCATGGAGATGAAGGCCGAGATCATCCAGAGACTGCAAGGCCCCAAAGCTGGCCAAATGGAAAACACAAACAACTTCCACAACCTGTACGTCAAGAGGCATACCAACGTGAGGTGAGGTGCGCGGCCCTGCCCCCGCCTCTCTGCAGTGCAGCTCTGCAGAGAAATTCCAGCTTCTCTGGTGTCCAGCCACCGCTAACGGCTTCTCAGCGGGGTTGTTACCTTACAGGACCCACTGGTCACTTTACTTGCGGCCTGGTAAAGCCTTGCTTGACCTGGGTGACCTGGCCTGAGGAGCTCATTTCTGGTCCTGTCTCTCATATCCTATTTATGGCACAGCTCAAAAGGAGGAGAATGAGGTCCTGATTTTGACCCAGGGTCAGATGACAGGATGACCTGAGACAGGGTTTTCAGGCACAAGGGCTGATCCCCTCAACATGGGCTTTCTGGGGGGCAGGGTTTCTATGACCGCACTGCAGCCCAGGGAGCTGGGTATTGGCTTTCCACTGGGCATAATGGAGTTCTGGAGTACTGCCAACCAGTGGCCAAGGCCCCAGGGGACTGATGGGTACCTGAACCAATGCACTGTGAAAGTTAACTGCTTTTCCAAGACGAGCATCATCTTCCTTACAGACCAGGGAGCCATTGCTGGAACTGTGGTACCTGGAAAAAAAAAAACTACCAAACAAACAGCCTCATGACATCCTGGGGTGGTGGCCCAGGAGAACTGGGTGAGGCTCCGTTTCCCCTGAACTCTGGAGAGGACCCCGAAGGGCCCTCACCCCAGGCTGAGCGGGGAGGGCTCCTGGCTGTACCCCCTGATGCCCAGCCATGGAAGAGCAACATTGCTCACTGATTGCTGTGCCCCACCCGTTCTCAGAACCTCATCTTTTAGGGCTGTGTTGTTCCATTCACTCACCTTGATGTGGTGATCAGTGTGCGTGCCGGGCATGCACACCAGGGCTCATTCGCCATGCATTGTGGTGATGGCTTACTTGTCAGAGAAGCTGTGTGGCCTCTATTTCAGTACCAGCTGCCATCACAACCACATAGGGCGGAGTGTCTGTGGGAGGTGAGGTCCCGTCTGTCCCTCAGCCCAGGCGCTCCACCACCAATGCACGTCTCTCCTGGACCTTAACGCTCATGACAGAAAAACAAATTTAACTCAAACTTGAAGTACGTGGCCACAGCTGCTCTCATTTGACACGAGATCTTAGCGAGGACATGTGATATGTATGACTCAAGCACGTGACGGTGTCAATGTGAGGTTAGAAACTCACTTCAGGGAGGACCCGATAGAAAACCACACTGCACATGGAGAAGGAGCTGAGTTAGCACTGGATGTGTGAGAGAAAACCCTTCCTATGTATCAAGAATGTTTATACATTTGAAAAAATGTCCCCATCTTGTGGTTTCTGTGGCATTAGCTGGCCGTGGTTTCCTTCAGGTGGTCTCTTTCGTGGTTTGCCAAGCCTGTCTGGCAGCTCCTCTCTGTTCTCTGACGCCTGCTCACGAGACAGTCATTCACACATGAGCCGTGTGAGACATGCATCTCAGTGTAACTTTCCCTGGCCAGCCTCCTCGTGGCATTTAAGACATTATCACCAAATTCACAGGCAGTTGAATTAGTACCTTACCCTTCACTACTAAGAGGAAAACATGGTGATGGCTTCCCTAACAAATACAAACATTCAAACCCCGACCCTCCTCCTGTCCCCGCAGTATTTTGTATGCAGACATCGTGGGGTTCACCAGATTGGCCAGTGACTGCTCACCTGGGGAGCTGGTGCACATGCTGAACGAGCTCTTCGGGAAGTTCGACCAGATTGCCAAGGTGAGCACAGATTTCCCCAGGCGGGAATGGGAGGACATGCAGGATCCTAGCTTACTTGACCTCTATCCATGATCAGTATCTTCCCTCGGTCCTGAAAGCGCCCTCCAGCGACATTGCTTGTACAATGCGTTGGTTTTATTTGCCATCCAGTCTTGAGGTGTCTTAAACTTGTCTCCAGGATAAGAAACGCCATTGCATATAATTATTGCTTGTTTTCATCTATTTTTAAAATGTCTGGTTATATATAATTCAGCACACACACAATAAATATGTGCAAGATGATGTGATGCCATTTGCAGTTCTTGGAGCACGGGTGTTATAAAGTATGCCTGTAGGCATTTCTGTGTCAAGGAATTGCTTTAATCATCCTTTTTTCATATTGTTAGGTAGGCCTCTGAATGAACCCCTGAAACTGGATAGATACCAACTGGGCCAGACCGTTACTTACCATTGTCTTATTTTTATGCTTTGATTTTGTGACACTGGATGTGATGTCCAGATTTATCATGTGTGGCAGACTTCATGCACAGCAAGTGAGGACAGGCTATGACAAACTGCGTGAGCCCTTGCTTGTTGGAGCTTCTAGGATGGGTAGAGGCAATGGACAAGAGTTGTTTCCTTCCTTGCCAGTTCTCTCTTAGCATTGTTTTCACCAAAAATATTTCCTTGTGCCTATTACATGTAGAAGTGTTGATTATAAATTCAGCTCCATCTTAAATATCACATACCCTTTCAGTGAAGCATGTTAGGAACTAATCTGACCTGTATATGTGAGAATATCCATTCTTGGGCTCCGCTTTCCAAGTGTTTGTGTTTTTTTTCTTATGCTAAATGACAGCTCTCACAAGAGACTTATTTTTTAGTAGTAATAGCATTTAAACTCAGCTTGGCTGGTGCTCTACTACTTGAGCCACACCTGAAGCCTCACTTTTTGGAGATGGACTTTTCTGGGTGAGCTTCAATCCCTGATTCTCCAGGTCTCAGTCTCCTGAGTAGCTCAGATTACAGGCATGAGCCATCGGCACCCAACCCACAGGGGACTTTTAAAAAGTCAACGAGAGCATAACTCTCCTTCTAAACTTTACAAAGTCCGGGAGATGGGGATTTTGTAGGTGTTCATCAACAGAAAGGGAAAGGTTGAGATTTAAGTAATAATGTGGAGGGTTTTCTAGTTCTTAAATATTCATTTTGGGGGAGAAGGGCTCCCCAGTGAAGCCACATGAGGATCGTGATGGTAACATGGGCTCACTCGCGCTCTCTCTGGGTCTCAGTGTCCAATTTCCCCTCCCTAGGGGCAGCTGGGTCACGTGGGATGGGATCCACCCTCCTTCAGTGGGATGGCATTTTACCCTGTCACACAGCAGCAGGCCCGGCACTCCATGAAATCAAGACCAATGTCTGCAAAGAGTTTGGTAGGACGCACTCATTCACAACAGAAATAATCCCAGCGACGTACCCTGACCATTGTAAGGGAAGAATGACTGGGCCACAGCTGATTCTATCTAGGTTGACTCTGCTTATCCGATTGTCAAAGGGGCAGCGATCCAACACCATTCCCTGGCTCCCAGTTCAATAATACACCCGTAAAGAATATGATACGCAGGTACCCCAGTTTGTTGAATGTTGCAAAGACCACATTGTAAGCCAGAACACTCAAATCATTGCCACTGTTATAGTCACCCCCAAGATCTCCAGATCTACTGCTTCATACTCTGTCGCTTACTGAGTGCACATCCCAGAGCTCATGTTTACCTGATTATTATAGGAACTATCTTTGAAATGTCTGTGTAGGAAGTGTGGAGGAAACACGGGCAATAGGTAAAAGTTTGCTCTTTCTTATTTATGATTTTGCAGTTAGAAATGCAAGGCGTGCTATCAGCAGTGCTATAAATAAGCAGGGAAGTGCACTGTAGCCTGTGAACAATTCGTTAGGCAAAGAAATATGTGGAACTTTCCATAATCCTAATGTGTATTTAAGAGCAAGAAGATGCCATGTTCATTTTATTGTCTGAAATCTGTTCCCTTAATACATTAGCTTCGGTGAGTGCCAGAGGGAAACGTTAGACTTTATTTTTGTTTCATTGTACCAAAAAGTCCACAAGCTATTTGAAAGATTCAAAAGATGCATATGAATGCTTGATCTATATACTATAAGATGAATAGAACCCAGCCAAGGAAAATAATGAGTTAGTCAAACTTTGTATTCCAACAGTCTCACCTAAGATGAGAATTAAATTTAAATTACTTGGCCATGTTGAATGGTGGCTTATTAGAGGTAAAGATGTTTATCAGATGCTGCATGTCTGTAGCAGCAATCTGCTTTAGGTTTAACATAAGTGAAGAAAGCCATCGCACAGCAGAGAATGGTGTAAGATGATTATAATTCCGATGGAGTGCTGGCCTTCTATTCTGGTGTGAACAATTCAGCTCTGCACAGGATGTTGCATTTCCTCATCTCCTTCGGAGATGTTCTGACTAAAGAATATGATCCTGTCCTCATCCTCCTCTGCTCATGCTGAGAGAAAAACTCTCTCTCTTTACTTTTCCCTGACAACCTTTTCCCTTATTCTTGCTATTTTGGAGATGAGTTTTTTTGGGGGGGGCGGTTTTTCCTGGGGGGAGGGGTGTCCTTTCCCCTCTCCCCACAGGCCACACCCCCCAGGGCAGGGTTAGGAATGGTAGCACTTGGTGGTGGTGGGTAAATCTGAGTCATTCTGCAAGTGCCTCATGCAAATGAGATTCTGTGATGCTTTTTTTCTTTCAGGAGAATGAGTGCATGAGAATTAAAATTTTAGGAGACTGCTATTACTGCGTTTCCGGACTCCCTATATCGCTCCCGAACCATGCCAAGAACTGTGTGAAAATGGGGTTGGATATGTGTGAGGCCATAAAGTAAGTGCACCGTTTTAACGCCCAGCAGCTTTGAGTCATGGTCCTGACCTGGAACTACCTCTGCTTTTCCCTTGTCTCCGAGCACTGAGTGCCAGGCTGTGCTTTAAATACAAATATGCAGACACTGACTGGCAAGTGAGTGACTCAGTCACGACCTGCGTAAATGCCCAGAGTCAGAATTGTGAATTAGAAATACATTTTGTTTGTTTCAGAGGTTTTTCTTTTAAGTGAACATCTTTTGTGATCTTAAAGAGAGTCCACACTCAAAGTATTTCTCAACACACACTAAAAAAGGAAACCTACTTTTTACTACTAGACTGCAGTGAAACAGATCTTTCATCCAGAAGTGTTCACTCAAAAGTCTTCTGTTTGTGAATATACTTTGTTCATGTCTATACTGGTTTTCTGCATTGTACCTATATTTTTCCCCATGATTCCAGAGAACACTTGCTTATGCAGGAATATGTTATCATAGACACACAGTTCTGTAATCCCTGCACTCTAGAGGATGAGCAGGAAAGTCGTCAGTTCAAGGCTAGCTAGGTTGCACAGTGAATTAAAGTTCAGCCTAACTGTTCTCCCCATCTCAAAAGAGAAAGAATGATGCTATCAATATTTCTGATGAGGATAGGGTAAGCATAAAGTAAATAATGATTTCTACTGCCAGTACTGTCACGCATCTTTCCGTAGTAACACTTTCTGTAGATGTCAGAAGATTCTTCTCAATAGTAATTTTTTTTCTGCTGATTGCATAAACAAAGACTTTTCGTTTGCTGAGCTGTTTGATTGTCTATGTTAGTAATGATTTTTCCCTATCCTCCTCACATGGTGTTTGGTTTGGTTTTACCTAAAAAGGGTGGAGATAATGTACTTACTGGTACGGTTTCTTATCTTAAGGTTATTCATATAGGGCAAAGTCAGAAGGCAACAAACCTGGTGTTTAATCACTGTGTATATTGGCCATGGTCCAGAAAGTGACTCCAAGGTTCATAGGTAGTTCTGGGCAGGACTTCTGGGCAGGGAGTAACAGGGCAGCCCAGTGATCTCCAGAGGCCGAGATCTCCCAGAGGAAGTGGAGAAACCTAGTTCCGCCCAGGGCTTCTGCTCAGCAGCAAACCGCAGCAGGTGCTGTTGGGCAGCTGGAGGGTGGGAAAGAGACAGCATGGAGGTAAGGAGGAAGAGGAGCCACATGGACTCAGTTTCCCCATGAGACATGAATTACATGAATAGCCATGGTCTACTTGCTTCTTCCTATAAATAAATAATATACCTTTTCTCATGCAGAAAAAGTATTTGTTTGTTTTCTTACAAAAGTGAGTGACTTTTAGTGGCTAGATGAATCCATTGTACAACTACTTATAGATAATTTAAGAAATAACAACATAGAAAGAAAATTTAGTCCTAAGAACTCATAGATTCCGCCAACTTATCTCCTTCCCTTGGAGGCCATCTGGCCGTCAGTTTCACACTCAAGGTGAAAGGCTTCCATCGGTGCGGGTTACTCTGAAAACTTTCAAATCAATGTGCTGAAGAATTTTATGGAGAGGAAAATTTGTGCGTACATAACATAAAGCCCTCTCTTGTACAGAAACTTGTTTTTCTGCTTTTGAAGTGCATACTTTCCAATTCCATTAAGCTTAAATTACTACAACGTGTACAAGAGCTTTTAGAGAGAAAAAAAGAATTTACACTGCATTCATGAGCACGGGCATTGGTTCAACAGAAACTTCCTTTTTCATAACACTGCCTTATTGTGGTAAAAATCTATGAATCATAAATGTCAGCCTTCAGACCAGTGGCTGCACAAATAGTTTATTGACAATATCATCTCTCCTTTCTTCCTCCTGAGTCTTTTCCCCACCCCAGGCAGAAACTTGTACCCATTCCTCACCAACTCCCTTTCTCCTCCTCCTCCTCCATGCCTGCCCTCTCTGCTCTACTTTATGTCCTTAAGTAGGTGTCCATGTTAGATATCTCACATAAACAGAATCACAGACTGTAGTTTCCTATCTGCTTCTTTCGCTTAGGTCTTCTGACTCTATGTACATGTCTGCACCTCATTCCCTACTTATGGCAGAGCTGTGTTCCGTTATCTGTGACTCACCTTTGCTGATGTGTCAGCAGTATCTATGGTGTCCAGATGCTCAGCAGCAGCCACAGCAGCCCTTGTGTCCCTGAGCTCAGTCTCCAGAGGGTAGAGAGAGAACGACGTCTCTGTGTCCCACAGGCCCACCATGTGGACCAGGGACTCCACCCTTGCCCTCTGTTCTACATGACACCCGTGACCTAGGAACCAATCATGTGCAGCTTTCTTTTTCTCATCAGCAAATCACGTATTTTTTTCTGATGCATAAAATAATTAATTTGTATTTTTGGCTTGCAAAGTGAAAAGATGACCACAGCACTGTAGGTCAAGATATAAGCGCACACCCTCAGTGAACTGGGAGCTTTCCTGACATGTATAAACTGTGCCCTAGGGGTAGCCTGGGCTTGTCTTATGCCTGATTGATAAAGTCACATCAAATAGCGGATTGCTTTGTTAAATCCCCAAAAAGAGAGTGACAAAAGGCCAACCTAGCCAGCCCCGGAGCTTTCGTCTCTACCCTTTCTCTCTCGAATGAGCCCAGCATCTCCATGTCTCGGAATGAAATGGGGAGCATAGTAAAGTAGGAGAACTTGCACCTCTCTCAGAAAGCCATTTGTTTTTATCTTCTAAAATTATTGTAGCGTGCTCCGATGATATCTAGTATGGTATCACGTAAGCATGACGTATCACTTTCCGATGTTGGTGACCCAGGGTGCTGTGACCCGGGGAAGGGTCACTGGGTCCCTTCCCGTCACTGGGCAGCGCAGCCCCGATGCCCACTCTGGGGCCTCCCTGCTGCTCACGTCCTTAGCAGTGATGTGTTTGATGATGAATGCTTTTTGTTGTTATTGTTGGCAGAGAAAAATGTGCACTGCCCAATATTTTCATTTCCCTTCTTTGAACTTCTACACATGGCTGTGCCCGTGGAGAGGGTTTTGCTCCCACTTTTTCTTTCTTTCTTCCTTCCTTCCTTCCTTCCTTCCTTCCTTCCTTCCTTCCTTTCTTTCTTTCTTCTTTCTTTCTTTCTTTCTTTCTTTTTGGTGGTTCTGGGATTTGAACTCAGGCTACACGTTTAGCCTTTTTCGTTTCCGTTATTGTTTCCAGTTAGAATCCTGTGCTTTTTACCCAAGCTAGCCTCCAACCACGAGCCTCCCTTAGCTGGGATTGCAGGCACACACCACCACACACAGCTTATTCTTGGAGACAAGGTCTCACTTGCTTCTTTTTCTCAAATCTGGCCTCAAAATACAGTCCTTTTATCTCTACCTCGAGAGTAGTTGGGATTATGGGCATAAGCCACTGTGACTGGCTTTCTAAAGTATTTTTACAAGAAAGTTTAATTAATTTCCATCATATAGTATGCATTAGTAAAGCACTTTTGAAAAGTGTTTTCCTCTTTTTCTTAAAGAATAGACACAATTGAAAAGCTGTAATCATTATAAAATGCTCCTTATTCAGGCTAAAGCCATTATTAAGCTCTCGACTAAGCTGCATTGTTCTCTCCTTAGCCGAACTTACTCACTGGGGCATAGAGCTCAGGAAGCAACAGAATTACAAATGACAGGCAGGGCTCTGACATGAGAACGCAGTGTCATATGACTCCAGGGTGAATGCACAGTCAAGACAGCACATGAAAAATGGGTGCCTGATACATGGTTATTAAAGATTGCAGTCCAGAGCCACCTCTGGCCACAGGTAGGGCATTGTGTTTCTCTGTGGGGAGGCCGGGAAGGAACGCCCAATCTCAGAGCCCAGGGAGCAGTGGTGCTTAACAGGAGGAAGAGAGTCTGTGACAGCATTTCTGAGAAAACCAAAATGGACACAATGCCAGGGAAATTGACTATGAGTTAAAGAAAGAAGTCAAGGCTGCCAAGTCGTGACTCCACCTCTCTTGTCTTCAGGAAAGTGAGGGATGCCACGGGGGTGGACATCAACATGCGTGTCGGAGTCCACTCTGGGAACGTCCTGTGTGGCGTGATCGGCCTGCAGAAGTGGCAGTATGATGTGTGGTCACATGACGTCACCTTGGCCAACCACATGGAGGCCGGAGGAGTCCCAGGGTAAGGCCAAGGCTCACATCTGCCTCCTTCACCAGGTGCAGTTACTATGACTGCTCAGTGGACAAACAGCTGTTGGTCTCAGACAACCTTTCCTGCCTGTGTGGTACCATGGCACTTGTGTCCAGGAATTGTTTAAAGTAAGCAGAAAAAGACGAGCTCTGAGACACACTCTCAGTAAACACTAGAATGAGCAGCGATCACATATCAAAGTCCAGGTTTGGTACCAATTTTTTTTTTCGATAATATCCCACAAACTCTCAAGTCCTGATTCCACTGCACTTACAACCCTTGTTAGACTGTGGAGAGGCCAAATTATAAAGCTTTACTTATTTGCAAATTTGTAAGTAGAGACCTGAGTGAATGATTTTTAATGCCATTTAGACAGGACTTCTTTCGAGTAATGATGATGTCTAAGCATTACATTAGGACAAGCAATGGTAGCATCCTTCGCCAGTTAGAGGTCAAAAATGGATGAACAAGAGCAGTCATTTGGAGCTGCAGGAGCGCAGCACTGAGAAAGAAAACCTACGCTTTCATACAGTGCAGTTCTTTCTCAAAAACACATTCAATGTGCATGTTGAAAGATACCCTTGCATGCAAAATTTCAATTGACCATGTTTCCTCAGCCATCATTCACTGAGATATCATTCATGGAGATGTCTGTGAGCGCAGAGAGGTTCCAATATTAGAATTTCATGGCCTCTAGGAGTCACTCTCCAAAATGAAGGCTGATGGAATGGAAACTATAGTTCATCTTTCCATGAACACTCCCACCACATTCCCTACATTTGTGGAGAGACTGTGGCTGAAATCAAAAACAAAGAGAACCTGTTTACACTCACCTTTTGGTATCGTGGCCATATTGTGACCATCTGCTTTTGGAACAGACGTGTTCACATTTCTTCTGTCACCTTGGAGCACTTGAATGGAGCTTACAAAGTGGAAGAAGGAGATGGTGACATCAGAGACCCATATTTAAAACAGCACCTGGTGAAAACCTACTTCGTCATCAACCCCAAGGTCAGTGTCATTGAACAGAGTCTGTGATTAGCCAATGATTGCTGCAAATGAAAGGGAAGAGGAGAGAAAAAGATTTATAGGGGAAGGTGCTGTTCACCAAGAATTAGTATTGTTCTTTGCTAGTGTTTGCCTCTAAGTGATTGTAAATATCTTTAGTGGCTTAGTTGTGAAGATGTGTTGTAGTCATGAATTCAAATGTTGACTAAAGGAATCGTTGAAAGGCCTGGGCTGCCTGTAGCAGCTGGGTACTGATGTAGGTTGTAGCCTGGAGTTGTTGCGTATCTGTCAGTAGTGGTCAGTGTATATGTGGGGTGTATTCTCATTATACACAGCCTTGATGCCTGTAAGCACAAAATAACAAGGATTTTGCTCAAATCTTCAAGACATAAAAATCCAGTAATATGAAAATAGAGTGAAATGTACAAAGAAAAGAAAAGAAAAATTGTTTGAAGATTAACAAATGAATCACTCATACCCACCTATGAGGATGTGCATTTACACACAAACATGTTTTTGTAGTGTACCATGGAAACTCCCATTAGCAGGAAAACAATCCCAGTAGTGAGAAGTTGTGTCTGCGTGTTCACACTACGTGGCCGGCCAGACCCATGTTGTCAGCTGTCCTTTGTTTAACTCCTCTTACATTCCCACCCTATAAATGAGTGTGATCACTAGTTACAAATTAACACTAAATTTTGAATGTTAAAGCCCTCAAATTAGACAGCTGGTGAATGGCAAAAATCTTGGTACGAAAGACTTCTGAGCAATGAAAATTAGTGTCACAAAAGAGAGATCAAGTTCACGGTGTTTACTCATGGTGCTCTCCTTGATAGTCAGATTTCTCCTTTGGAGAAAAGTTTCCAAGCCTCTCAAGACTGACCCTGGGTAGCTGGGTGTAAGCAGTGGGAGGCGGGGCATGGGAGAGAGCATTATGGTCTGTAGAAGAACATGAGAATGTCTATGTGTGACATCACTCACACCTAACCATTCACAAAATCGTAGATGAGCACATGCTGTTGAAGGGTTTATAAACATGTCTATTCGTACGTCTATTGTTTTTTCCCTACATTTCTGCTGCTGGTAAGTTTGACTATGGGGCTCCATGTGCTGAAGGAATGAAAGTAGAGCTGTGAAGAGGGTGGGTTGATGCTAGAAGCACTGACTTGATGGATGCATGCTGAAACAGGGAGGAAGAAGTGGAGGAGAGGAAGGGGGAAGGGTAGGGAGAGGGGGAGGAGGAAAAGGAGGAGGAAGGCTGTGATGCACCATTTGTGATGCTGTGTTTCTGACCCCAAGGGTGAGCGCCGGAGTCCCCAGCACCTCTTCAGGCCTCGTCATACTCTGGACGGAGCCAAGATGAGGGCCTCGGTCCGCATGACCAGGTACTTGGAGTCCTGGGGAGCAGCCAAGCCCTTCGCCCATCTGCACCACAGAGACAGCATGACCACGGAAAATGGGAAGATCAGCACCACGGTGAGCCCCCTGGACGCTCCCACAGCGTGGCTGGTCCCCAGCAAAATGCTGCGCCCATCCTGCAGCATGAGGCTTGTCTGTCACCAGCGTGACCCACCAGGGCTCTCTCAAAGAGGGACAGGGATGTTCATTGTCCTTTAGGTCTATTGTTTAAAACAGATAATAATACCCAGCTCTAACAGATTTCTTTAACCAAGTTCTTCCTTTCATTCTGAAGTACAAAGCCTTAAACAGCATAATGAGAAGGCAAGTATATAAGTAGTGTGATTAAAACCTGTCTGTACAAAGCCTCAACAGCCCGCTGAAACTGTGGCAATGCACCACTCCCACTTCCAACCTGGAGAAAAATCCCAGAGTTCCTTACAACAGGGGTGTGTACACCAAGACATCAGCATGGGAGCAGGAAGACAGAAAGACGCGCAGGAGCGGAGGGGGAGGAACACAGAAGATACTTGTTTCCTTGTGGCACTAACTCTGTTAGGGATGTAGTTGAGATTTTAAAGAAATTCCAGGTTGAATGGTGCTCACTGGCTCCACACAAGAAACATGGTGGCTGGAAGTCCCATCTTCCCTGTGCGTGAGCCTCAGGGTCCTCCAAGGTCACCTGAAGCCCAGCAGGTGGGGGCTCCACATTCTTGTTTTGGCTCGATTGTAGCAGTTCCTCCCACTTCCCTTCATCTTTTCTCAACAAAGCAAGCAATGTGCTGCCATGGGGGACATGGGACCCCCCAGTCCATGGGGGAAATTGAGGACAGGCCCTGGAGTTTGCATCCTAATGCCCAGGGAGAGACCATCGGTAGGAAATGAATAATGATTGGGATCATTTCAGGTGCTGCTCACAGCCACAGAGAAATAAACCAGAGGAAGTTACTGAGAGTGAACCAAGTGGCTGCTTCTGGGTGGGGGGGAGTATTGAGGGAGGGGGTGTCTGGGGAAGCCTCAGGGAGAGAAAGAGGGAAACTGAGATCTGGGAGCAGGGGAACGAGGGGAAGGCCAGGGACTCGAAGATGGAAATAAATGTGTTGTCCACAGTGGGCAGAGGAGGCCGGAGCCTGGGCAGAGTCGGAGGCAGAGCGCTTCTGTTGTTCTCTTGAGTATAGTAGGGGCCCACTGGGATCTTAAACACGAGAGGAACATGACAGATGTGTGTTCTGGGTTCTAGGAGCAGGAATACCCAGTGAGAGCAAGGCCCTTGCGCATTGGTTGCAGCAGTGGAAGACTTGAAGACGTGAGGCTACATGGCAGTGGGGAACGGGTGTCTGGGAGACAGATGGCCTCCCTAGAGGGGGATGTCTGGTTATTTAAGACGGGGTAATCAGGGGTTGGCTAATGGATGTCTTTGGGTCTCGTATGCCTCTTAGAGACTTGCGTGCAGCAGGGAGGTAGAAATGTCTAGACCCCAGGGAAGAGTCCAAACTGGAGAAGTGGCTAGAGTCTCCAGGTTTCCAGTGGTGTCTGGACCTGTGAAACGGGGTGAAATCAAGAAGAGGGTGTATCAAGGAGGGAGCCTGCAGGATCTTGGCCAGTTAGAAGAAAGCATCCCGAGACTCTAGTCTCCAGTGGCCAATGAGCGGATTCATACCATTCTCATGAAAATAATGAGTTAGATATTTTTGCCTCATCCCAATGCTTTCTAGTCCTCATGCCTTAAAATTTGCCACTAGTCGAGATTTATTACCCATCAGCAGTTGGTGGGTTGGTTGGTTTTTAAGGAAATGAAAATCATTTGTAGTTTGTCATCTGTGGTTATCTATGTTATTTCTTAAGTTTGCCTGTGGGGAAACAGTGTTACTTCATCGTGCTGTGATTTCCTGTCATGGTCTCCCTTGCTATCTGACCATCTCAGCCTGATAGTCTAAATATAAACGGGGTTTTCAATCTGGATTCACATTTATGGTTGGGAGCTTTTCTTCACATGGTAATTAAGTGTTACTGAAACGATAATCAGCATAATAAAAGAGGAAAGATGTTACAGCCATTATCATCGCAGCATTCTCCTTGGGAGAATTTTTATCTACTAATAAACTTCTTTTTTAATACAGGATGTACCAATGGGCCAGCACACTTTTCAAAATCGCACATTAAGGTATGGTATATTTTTGGATTTATAATTTTTAAGGCTTCATGCTTGTTGTGTATTTCTAGAGTAATTGTCATCAATTATAGTCATTTCAAAGATGCCTTCTAAAAGAGCAGCTACTTGTGAAAAGCCCTATTCAATTGTATCTAGCTTCTTAAAGGTAAAATCTTAGTGTCTTGTTATTAGAATTAAGAGAGAGAAGGAAAATGCCACTTGGGAGTCACTTTGGAGTATTAAGTTGTTTTCTTGAAATGACTCTTCTTAATATATATTACAATTCAAATTGTTTTAAAATGAGTTGCTCCAAAGTAGTTTTTGTGCTAAATTCTGAATATAAATCTAGTCCAGCTTTTCTATGGCGAAATTAGAGCTGACCACTTTTGAAGAAAATATGTTGCATCTGCGTAAACTATAAACACACATGGCCACAACACATTCTCTAGAACATTTCCAGATTCTTATTTGCTATACTGGGTTTAATTTGTATGTTGTGCAAAATTCAAAATTCTAGCATTGAGTTGAAATATTTATAGTCCTTATGCTAGGAAGAAAAGCAAGTTCTTGGGTTTTGTTATTGTTGTTGTTTATTTGTTTGTTTGTATTTCTGATCCTATGGCTTGAACCCAGGGCCTGGGTACTGTCCCTGAACTTCTTTCGCTCAAGGCTAGCACTCTACCACTTCAGCCACAGCACTGATTCTGCCTTTTTCTGTTTAGTTTATTGGAGATGAGTCTCACAGACTTTCCTGCTTGGACTTGCTTCACACTGCAGTTCTCAGATCTCAGCCTCTTGAGTAGCTAGGATTACAGGCATGAGCCACCAGTACCTGGCTAAGTTCCCTAGTTTTGAAACAGTTCATTCAGTGGCATATACTGTACTTTACAAAGAGCTGGTGCTAATCTGAGCCATATTGTGGATCCAATGAAGATGAGAATACATGAACCATACAGCCACTTGGAGACAAGCATACATCTGATCACCCATCCTTGAAAATTCCCTGGTCTTTCTCATTTTAAATTCCCTATCTCTGTGTCATCTGTGTCTTACTCCCTGAAATTCTGCTTCAAGAATCTGTCTATTGAGATTCAGCGGAGCATGCTTTGTGGAACCCCAGTAGGATGTGGGCAATGTCTTCTGGGATGAGCAGAGCCAGGAGTTGCATGGTAATTAATCATCATTTTCTGTACAAGACCACAGACAAGCTGGTTTTGTGTCTACTGGGAGGTAGATGTTATTCCATGGTTATTTTGGAAAGGAAGGAGGTAGGCATCATGGTGCAGTAGAATAGTTAGAGCCACGTGTCAGCTGCGGCTGGAGCCAAGCTTTGTGCACAGGCTACGTGACTCGGAGCCTCCTTTGCTGACCTCCTCTCTGTCCTGCCGGCCTAGCAGTACTGATTCTACAACTGTTCTGCTTCCTTTGGGGTTGTTGGCTTTTTTTTCCATCTCTGAGAACTATGGACAGAAAGCTGCTCTTGAGTCCGGCTCCCTGGCCTTCCTCCCACCTCCTGGCTTCTGATAAGCCTCTGTGAGACTCCAGGCTGGTTCGTGCACTGGTGTCACACAGCCCTTTCCCTGCCTCCTTAGGTGGAAGTGCCCAGGCCTGTGGTGGCACAGCCTGGGAAGGACTCTGGGATCAATGAATGGAAAGAGGGCTGGATAATCAGAGCAGGGGCCAAGGCCAGTGCAGACTGGGAATCCGCCATGCAGAAAGGCAAAGGAAGTCCCAGTGAGTCAGCCGGGAGCCCCAGGCCTGAGGATGTCAGATCACGCACACAGGAGAGGCTCTCAACCAGGGACTGCAAACTTCCCAAGAATCTGTGTCCCTATAAGTGCTCTGTCACAGCATGCTTCTACTGGCTACTCACCTGTCACATTAACCGGCTTAGCCCTGCACAGGCACTATCTCAATTAATCCTACCCAGAAGAACAAAGGCCTCACCCCTGTGGGCCTGTCATAACAAAGACACACATTTTCCTGAGAAATTCCTGGTACCTGCCCTGCTCCACAGTAGTCTTTGTGAAAAAGAAAGCTATTGAGTTGAAGTTGAGGGACTCAAGTGCATTGTAGGACAGACAGATGGACAGATCGACGGATGGAAGGATGGATGAATGGATGGATGGATGGATAGACGTAGATAGATAGATAGATAGATAGATAGATAGATAGATAGATAGATAGATAGACAAGGATGGAAAATAATTTGCTTCCTTCAAATGATTTGGAATTAGATACGCTAAAACCTCTTAATCATGTTTGCTCAATATGAATAGATGAACCTTCACTGGCCTGTTTAAACCAGCAGGAGCAATGCCACAGATCTATAGCATAGAGCCCTGGAAGTGGAAATCCACCCATCTTATTGGTGATTCTGCAGCATTTAATTACAAATAAATAATAAATGTGATGTTGTATAGCTCTTCTTATCTATGTCTAGAGGCATTCTTATCTCAGAATAGTATTACTTTTATTCCAGATTAGGTCTATCCTCTTAAACAAGGAGAAGTAGAATCATGGCCAATCCTAAAATAAAGCACAGCCCCATGAAGGCTAAACTGTGCTTTTAATGTTTGCCGTAGATATTTCAATTTCAAAAACAAAACTTCCAACTTTTTTCTCTTGTTCAACCATTCTCATATCATTTACCAAGTTACTTTGGGGGAGATACTATTATTTGACCCATTTCACTTAGAAATCATGTTATATTATGAATAAAGATCATTTACTTTGGATACCAAATGAAGTTGTTTACAAACATGAGTGATTGTGTGTGTGTGTGTGTGTGTGTGTGTGTGTGTGTGTGTGTGTGTGATTACTGAGGATTGAATTTAAGGCCTGGGCACTGGCCCCTACCTTCTTTGCTCAAGGCTTGCATGTACCACTTGAATAATACCTTTATGTCCTTATTTTTGCTGGTTAAAGAGATAATTTCACAAACTTTCCTGACAAGCTGGCTTTAAAAGGTGCGATCCTCAGATTTCAGCCTCCTGAGTAGCCAGGATTACAGGCATGAGCTACTGACACCCAGCTTGCAAGGTATTGTGTGGTTGCTGAGGTTCCCCTCCCCCTGACCCCCAGTGGAAGGAGCAGTATTGGAGGTTGAACTCAGGACTTGATGCTTGCTAGACAGGAGCTCTCCCACTTGAGCTATTCTTCTAGTCCCTTTGGCATTAGTTATTTTCAAGATAGGATTTTGCTTTTGCCCAGGCCAACCTGGGCTTTGATCTTTTGACTTGTGTGTCCTTACATTGCTGATGATAACAAATGCATGCCAGTGCCCAAACATGGACTGGGTAGTTTCACAAATGTTTTAAACCTGGCTGTCCTGGCACCAACCCCTACTCCCACCCCACAATGTCCATCTCTCACATAGTGGGGATGGCAGGTTGGAGCCATGGTGCCTAACAAAGAGTCAAGCTTTGATATGCTTAAAATGGCACTGTAGGTTTCCAGGTTCTTTTGAACTGGCCAATGAAAGAATTTGTCAACTAAACCAAATGCTTTCCCGGGAAGTTCCAGATCAGAGAACAGTTCATGGAAACAGCAAGTCAAAGGCAAATGCATCTCTTCGGGAGAGGAGTCCTTGCTCATCAACACCAAGTCCATGTTTTCCGTATTGACTTGCAAAGCCTCATGAATTTCTCTCTCTGTGCACAGCAAGCCAACCTCTTCACTGTAGCAAACCCTCTGGTCAGTTCCTTCAGCTCAGACTGTAGATGTGTTACCTGAGAAAGCCTGCTGATGGGTTATGGTCAGGTTTCAGCAGCAAAGAGAACTTACTTGGCTTAATGTTTACCTTAGTGCTGATACGCCCACCCATAATATTTCATTTTTTCATCTAGAACCAAGTCTCAGAAGAAACGATTCGAAGAAGAGTTAAACGAAAGGATGATTCAAGCCATTGATGGGATCAATGCACAGAAGTGAGTAGTCCTTCGTTTTTTACTTTATCTTATTTTAAAGCTGACTATTTAGAACCAATGTCATATTTTCCAAAAATGTTTCACAGTTGACTGTAATTTTTATCATGACAAAGTGAAGATTTGGGGGGACAATCCATTCATTTTCCTTATTGTCCATCAACTAATAGTATTCCTTTTCTTTAAAAAAAAAAAGCAAAGAACAGTAAGAGCTGTGGAGGAAATTTTTACCAAGTCAGTTATTATTAAAGAACAAGAGAGGTACAGTCTCAAGTGTAGAGAAAATTGCAGGCTAAAATGCTAAGCAAGAATCTTGATGAGGAAATCTCCAAACTGTGCTGTTTGACACTATGTGACACTCTCCATTCAAAATGTACTGATTATCCAAGACATCAGATAACCACACACAGTGCCCCAAGTCCAGGACAAGTACTTGGTGTGAATTCACAGCACCAAAAGAGGCACACTTGTTCTCTAGGAGAAAAAAATATTATTCACCGTGTGAAACCAAAAATTACCCCTAGAATGTTTATAGTCTACAAGATGTAGGAGCAAAAACAATGTGTTTTATTTATTTTGGAGTCAGTATGGATTTGAGCTCAGGGCTTCATGCTTGTAGCACCTGGGCACAGAGCCCTTTTTGCTCAGCTGTATTTTCCTCCAGATAAGCTTTTGTATTTTTGTCTGACTGATACCAGACTGTGATCCTCCAACTAGTGCCTCTCCTGTAGCCGGGACTGTAGGCATAAGCCAGCACACCCAGATTAATTGTTGAGATAGCATCTACTGCCTTTTTGCCCCACCTAGTTTCCAACCACCATAGTCACAATCTCCGACTGCTGAGATTAGGATTACAGATGACAGCCATTGTTCCCATTGGGGTTTCGAGGAATAATTTAAATGAGATAGTAGCTTCAACACCCTGGAAAGAATAGTTGCACTCAGCAAACTGTGCATTCTCCCTGTGCAATCGATAAACTCACCTGGGTCATAGAGAAGCTCACCGTCTTTGAGGAACTCAGAGGGCAGAAGGCAGATGACTCAGAGTGGAGCCGGCACACATTAGAGTCTCACTGATGTGGGATTGCATTTTAATGAGCTCTGGGAAGTCTCCACCAAACGCTTCACAAAAAAGTTTCCCTACAAACAGAAACCTACGAAATGTTTAACTTGGAAATCAGCTTCTGAAAAGTATCGATTATTTTCACGTAGGATTCTCTGCCTGTAACACAGAGCCTTGGGTATCACATGGGTTTTCAAAATAGAATTCTGTTGTCGATTGTTCCACCAAATGCTTAGAATATTTACAGGGATCATGGCGGGGAAACACTCAAATGTGTATGTGTATGTAAATTTGTATGTGTCCATGAAACAAAGCATCTTGATCAGGCTGGAGCTGAACCTCAGTTATGCTGAATGTTGGATCATCATCTGCCTAGAGTTCGTTATGGGCTCCCAGCCATCCCAGAGTGCACCAGCAGCAGTGCCCAGGCACAGACCATGAAAACTGTTCTGGCTCTGTCCCATCTGAAAGTTCTCCACATCACCAACCAAGAAGCAAATGATTACCTGTCATGCGCCAGAAGCTGAAGCTGGGAGTCTGGTACCGGATAGCACAGGGGGAAGGACACAACCATCCCACCAGCCCTCCCACCAAGAAAGAGCAACCAATGCTCTGGCACCCACCAGCCTAACACCAGAGAAGTAGTGATAGCATTTAACTGTTAGTTATTGTCCTTATCACTCTCATCACTATTGCCGCCATCATCATCATCATCATCATGAGCTAGGCTTTGAATCCACACTAAGCATGGACTAATCCAAAACCTTCTTTAACTGCTTCTGCCTTCACCCTTAGGCTGTTCATGCCGAAGGGTGGCTGTTGGCTTTATGTTATGGCTGCTTTTGAATAGTCCATTTGGTTTGTCCATCCAGGCAGTGCCATTCTAAGCAAGGCTTCTTGCTAGTGTAGCTGCTTTTCTTGTGATTTTTCACAACATGTTTTGCAAATAAAATAGAAAAAAATCTTCTGTACTCAAAAAAAAAAGAAATAAATGTTTTTTGGTGGAGGCTCTTAGGTGCATATATTTTAATTAGCATCAAACATACTCATTAACTACACTTGTTTTTGATGTGATGTTTCTCTGATCTTTTAATTTCTACTTAAAGATTTGATTAGAGATCTGCCCTTAATGTACCATTTAGTTATTTTTGTACCATTTACTTGTCTTTTGCTATTGACAGAAAACAGTGATTTCCATGCAGATTTGTTTATTCACTCATTTTATTCATGTAATAGCATTTGCTGAGCGTTAGACAAACCAGTGCACAAGCCTGCCTCTCCTGGGGCTAGGTACATGATAGAGGGGGGAATCTCTCTGGGCTGATAAGAACACTAATTCTATGAGCCAGGCCCTGCCCCTCACCTCATTCACTCTCGTCTTGATTGCTTCCTCAGTGCAGCCATGCTGGGGTTTGCTCTTCAATGTGTGAGCACAGAAGGGACAATAGTAGGAAAATGATCTTCTCACTACTCCCATGGGTGAAAATTTATATTTGTAACCCCAGAAGGATTTCAGTGAGGGCAAGGTGCACCCCTGCTTTCCTTTATTTATTTGGCTTAGCAAAAACAATCTTAGTCTAAATCAATAAGGAATCACTTATCGTATACACTAGGGATGGAATATAATTTCCCCATGATATAGACCATCTTAGATCAGAGAAAATATCAGGAGTCCATGAATAAAACACACACACACACACACACAATACACACTCCCACACCCACTTCCCCTCCTCTCTTCTTCTGATTCTCTTGCTAAGAATAATATTTGATCTTATCAACCTAGACAAATATTTCCTATTCAGAAACCACATCATATGAAGTCTCTGAATTCTTACAAGTCATTAGGGGAATGTAGTCCCCTTCAGAGGATTCACAGAGATGATTAAATCAGTGCTATGAACACATTCTCCTCAGTGTAAGGACAAGGTTAGGACCATCACTTACTGCATCTGATCACACTGGACTTGCTGTGGAAAAGAGGAGTAAGAGCAAGCTTTGATTTGATGATGTCTGCCCTTCCCATTTCTGCATTTGTTGGAATTTGGCCATTTCCCTTGAGTCCCTGACTCAAGAGGTACCTTAGGCCATGGAGCACTGTTAGTGGAGTCCCCAGCCCCCTCCTGTCCACCCACAGGACAGAAGCACAGGAGGGTAGATCCCCAGGATAAATAAGCTGGTTTTATTTCTACTTTCTGACCTTCATTCCTATTTTGCTTCCAGGCTTATATTATTGGGGAACATTTTTAAATTAGATTTTTCTTTCTCAATAAAGAAAAGAACTGTTTATAGTAAGTTACCACAATACATTATTCATATTCTCATAAATACACAGTATTAACCATCAGTATGGTTAACATTTATCTCAAATTTTATTATCTGGAAATTCTAATATTCATTCATCCTTGGTTCCTCCAACAAGTCTCATAAAAGCAAAGAATCCAACAGCTCTACAACAGGCACATTAAAGAAATGCCAACTGTTTATTTCCTTAATGCCCAGAGATTCAGTCAAGCAGTGAATTTGTGTGTGTGTATGTGTGTGTGTGTGAGTGTGTGTGTGTGTGTTAGTCCTGAGGCTTGAACTCAGGGCCTGGGTACTATCCCTGAGGTTTTCTGTTCAAGGCTATTGCTGCTCTAAAACTTGAGCCATAGGTCAACTTCTAGCTTTTTTGGTGGTTATTGGAAATGAGTCTCAATTACATTCCTGCCTGAGCTGGCTCTGAACTGAAATCCTCAGGTCTCAGCCTCCTGAGTAGCTTGGATTACATGTATAAGCCCCAGTCACCAGCTGGAGCTCACTTCCAATTTCAGTCACTGGAAAAGACTTCAGTGCCTCTGATAAAGTGTGCATGTCAATAGTTTAGTCATCTGGATCATTCAAACTGGTTTCAGTGCACATTTGGAAATGAATGTAAGAATGGCAAAGGGACCTCCATACTGCTTTCCAGAGTGGTCATACAAGTTTACATTCCCACCCACAGTGTAGTAGCATTCTCTTTTGGCCACATCCCTGCCAGCATCTGTTGTTACTAGGCTTCTTGATAAGGGCCATTTTAACTGGGATAAGATGGACTCTCAATGTCGTTTTGGTTTGTGTTTCTTTTATGGTCAGAGATGTTGAGTGGTTCTTTATGTGTCTATTGGCCATTCCCCCTATGATCCATCAATCTCACTCCTTGGCATTTACCCAAATGACCACAAAGAAGGCCGTACTAAAGCTACCAGCACAACCATGTTCATTGCAACATTATTTACCATAGCTTAGATATGGAACCAAACCAGATGCCCTTAGTAAATGAATGGATCAAGAAGATACAATATGTATACACAATGGAGTTCTATACTTCCATCAGAAAGAATGACATTTCCCCATTCGTAAGAAAATAGAAAGACCTGGAAAAAAATATATTAAGTGAAGCAAGTCAGGCCCAAAGATATATAGGTCGTATGTTTTCCCTCATTTGTAATAACACACAGAACCCAATTGCTAAGTGCCTAGGACAATATATAAGGAAGCATATCAGGATGAACTCCAAGAACTGGAAACCAGAGGTTCTTATTATGTCCTGTATGCAGTTATTTCTATTTTTTCTTTCTATTTTAGTTTTCTCTGGCCTTTGTCTTGGATATAAGCTTATCTGATCAGTGGAAGGGAAAGGGAATCACAGGAACAGCAGAACAAAGGCTGAAGTGATGCAACAATGATACTCAATAGGCACTATGTTGGAAATGCACTTTACAACTTGTTGGGAGGGGAATGGGGATTGGTAAGCAGGAGAAAATGAGGGAGGGAATAACTGTGTTTAAAAAGAAACATACTCATTATCTTACTATGTAACTGTAACCCTCCTGAAATAAATTTAAAAAAAAAGAATGGCAGAGGGCTCCAAGGTGACCTGAAGATGTCCCCTCTGCCAGGGTAGCCTTCTAGGTTGCTATAGAGATAAACAGAATGTGGCAGGTAAAGCTACATCTAGAGATCTAATTTGGAATCTGGAGAGACTGAATTTGATTGACCTGAAGAAGAACCAATTCACTCTTTGCTGTTCTTATCTGAGTCTTTTCACCCTAATACCTCAGGATTCAAATGTACAGAAACATAGTGAATAGTTGAAAGTACTCTATTAATTAATTCATGTGAGTCAGTGACTATTGAAATACATACAAATATATTCTTGGAAGTTTATATAAAACATAATTTTCTCCTTAATGTATAGTATAAATAGATACAAATATCAAATACCTGTATCTAAATGTAAATGTAAATATGCATATATACAGTTATATAGTATCTATAATTTATATAAATATAACATTAGTATAGGTTATGTATTGTATATAATATATATATATACCAAGACAAAAACAATATGCATATATGTCAGATCACTGAATTATTTTAAATTACAAAATTCTTTTATTTAAGCAAAGACAGGAAAATAGGAGTCTAATTTTCTAAGTGACTAATGACTCAAATAAGGCAGGAATATTTTTATTGATATTTCCAAATACTTTTATGTTCAGAGTTAGGTTTTGTCTTAAATCCCAGGGCGTATAGGAGGTGTATCTTTCCATCTCGCATCTCCCACTCAGGGGTGTGTTTGATTTCGCTGTGAGCTGTGTGACTCCACGCAGTGCCTCTGACACCACATATCTGTTTCTATTCTGCTAGTAATTTTGTGAGGCATTCAAAAGTAAACTCTCAGAGAATCAAGTTATTGACATGCTGGGAACCTCTTAATGACTTATCTCCTTAAAAAAGTAAACTCTCAGAGAATCAAGTTATTGACATACTGGGAACCTCTTAATGACTTATCTCCTTAGCCATTTGATTTGAATTGTTGAAGTGTAAATCTGACATGACCGTTTTCAATCTGAAAGTTTTGAAAAGGACAATGCATGAGCAGGCATGTCATGTTTTCAGATCCCATGAACAATCTCTGGATACCACACCCACTAAAGCTGGTACTATACACTCCCAAGAGACTATTCCATGTGGGATGATGTGTAATCAAGAGAGAAGTCATTTTACAAAGAATAGTTCCAGGTGTTTGGCTGGAGCTTTGGTTTGATGATTTCTGTCCTTTTTTTTCAGGCAATGGCTCAAATCTGAAGACATTCAGAGAATCTCACTGCTTTTTTATAACAAAATCCTAGAAAAAGAAGTAAGTCATTTTTTTGTCATCAAGTTCAATCAATTTTTTTTCTGAAGTGGTGGTTCTGAATTCCTTCATGATTTTCTTTGTAATAAGAAACATTTGAACTACCTTGGACTGTATCAAGACCTCTTCTTGCTTGTTCTGTACTTCTTTGCAGACATTGTTTCAGTATATTTCTTGTTAGCAACTCTGACTTTGAATTCTCAGATTCTTAGCCCTCCTGGTAGTAAATGGTATCATGTTCACAATATGTGGCCAAAGGAAAGGAAAGAAGTTAATGCCAAGTTTTCTGTATGTGTGATTGTTCTCTGGGAAGGCTTTGCAAACACAATCCTTCCATGTAAACTTGCAGTGTAGTTACAAAAATTGCTTAGCTATTTTGGCAAGAAAATAGAAACTTTACATTCAACACCCATCCAGAAAATTTGAAAACCCAAACTAGTACGTTTTATACATCTAAACACTTTGACCTTGTATCACTCCAAAAGTTCTTTCAGGCAGAAGCAAAAGGAGATGTTTAGTTTTTATGGATTTGAAAAAATGAATTAAGTCGTAATCATCTTTACTTCATTCACCTTTTGTGTTGGTCTAGAGAAGCAGTAAGATTCAGAAGCACTTTCTATCATCCAACAATGTGGTCATATAATTATGTACAGGCTTAGACACAACAGAAGGAATTATGTGAATGAGAACATTCGTATCATCATTATGAGAGTCAGCTCATTGCTTTATGAAAAGTGAATGAAAGTATCAAAAGTCCTTCTAAAATCTGTCACGGTTAGATTTTAAGATACACGCTTACCACTGAGGGACTGCAGAAGGCACTAATGACCCTTACTATCCACCTTGATAGAGGTCCTTTTCCTTAGCTCACACTGAGATGAAATTCCAACTCAATCTTTGCACAGAAGCCTGAAATGTTAAAAGATAAAGTGTAATGAATGCATACTATATAATCACATTTCAGGTAGATGCCAATATAGCTTCTTCATCTGCATGTAAATTTTCCTGGCTACTAAGTCACAAAATTCATTTTAAAAAATCACACCTAATAAGAAGAAGGTGACCGTTGTGTGAAATGTAGCTTTAGGGCAAATTTGTAGCATGCTGATGATTAAGCCATCCACCCATCCCCACGCTGTGCGTCATGTACCAGGAAGTGCAAAGGCAAACAGGCAGCCAGGAAGTGGGTTTTCCATCAGCCAAAGGAGAGCCATCCTTCATCGCCAAAACTCAAGTGGATCAAACCCAAGAAACGCATACATCCGTTTTAGGTAGACAGAGCCACTCAACCCGACAGTATTTCTGGAGGTTTTGATGACATTGTCACAAAGAGGTATTTCCTTAGATTGTATTACTAACTCTTTGGGGGAGGCAGTGGAGGGCCATGTTTGAGGTTTGGGATTCAGTCTTCCTGATGAGAGTAATGGCCTCATGGGTCAGTCAGCCATTTCACCCTGCAGTTCCTTTCAACAAAATCGGGGAAGCAGCCTTGGCTTCTGCCTTACCTCAGCGACATAGTATGTAAAGTTTCTGGAACACCTTAAGGGCTGTGTGAAAAGGGATCAATCATCATCATCATCACTATCACCATCACCATCTTCATCATCACCATCATCATCAGTGCACTGGTGCTGGTTTTGTGTTCATTAGAAGCCAAACAGGGAAAGCTGTTGAGGTCGGGAGCCAGCACCAGCCAGCTGATGGTCCAGGATGGTAGGCAGCCCCCTGGGCTGTGAAGGCCCCTTCTGATAGTGACGGACTAGAGGAAGCTGGCAAAAGCCCCCAAGCCAGCTCAGCAAAGCTCACAGGCCTTTCCTGTCATGCCTTCCCTCACCACTCTGAGGCTCATGAAGACAAATAATAAAATACAGTGCTAAAATAGATGCAATGGAGAGGTCTCGCATTTTCAGAAGTCGTATTATTGTGCAAAACCTCATTCTCTTTGCCCCCAAATAACTGTAATCCACAGACCGATGAGGTGATCAGAGCACTGGCCTGACTCGTCTCCTCCATTGGTTCACTCAGCTTTCCGGTCAGGTTCCTCTCTGTACACTGGAGTGATTTGGTTACATATAAATAAATGAGTTTGTGAACAGTTGCACTCATACATTGTGGTGTGTGGAAGTCCCTTGCATTCATTTGCAGGCAGGGTCCACTGACTGCCTGACATAAACAGCCTTGGCTCATTTATGCTGCAGTCAACAACTCACGATGAGATTCCCCTCAGGTACGACCAGGTTGCTGGGTAATTGTGTGCGATCTCGCTCTCACAGAGCATCGTTCAACCTTTCCTTTTCTCCCCTCAGTACCGGGCTACAGCACTGCCAGCATTCAAGTATTACGTGACCTGCGCCTGCCTCATCTTCTTCTGCATCTTTATTGTGCAGATCCTCGTACTGCCAAAGTGAGTACTCTGGGCTTTCCCGTGGAGTCAGCCTGATGAACCTTTACTGGGGTCTGGTTGTATTTGAGGGTGTGAAAGGATGCTAGTTTCCAAACAGGGGTCATTTATCATGTCACCAGGGAGGAGGAGTAAATCTGAGACTTTGGAAGTTAAGTGCTCCCCATGAGTCTTGCTTGGATTTCCAAAGTGGACATACTAATTCACCATATTGAGATTTTTTTTTTTACATATAAATCTGTCCTCCTTACTTCGATGCCCCATCGAGGGACATAAAGAACAGCACCACCAGGTGTCATACCTAATGAATAAACAACATTGCTATAAACTAAAAGGGGAAACCTGCCGTAAGTGTACCCAGACGTTTGTTTTCACTGTCCGTGCGTCCTGCTCTCTTTTCTCTGTCTTAAATCTGCCATCTTGCTGGTTCCATGTCAGGGACCACTTGATCGCTCCCGGGAGAAAACTGGGTTCAGTGGGGAGAAGTGGAGCTCCAGGTTATGCTCTGGGTGTGTGTCTTCTGGCTCTACCCATTGGCAAACATAATCCGGTCACTGTGATTCCGAGGTGATCTCTTCTCTTGAAGCTGCACAGTGAGAGTCAGTACAGACCAAATCGCTTTCTTCTAAGAATCCGATTCTCATTATATAAAGAAAAGTTAAAACTTTCATCCTAACAATAAGAGAGAAAAAGTAATTTCTAAGCACAATTTTCCCTCTCTTATCGATATTGATTTTGTGAAAGCCAAAGAAAACATTTTCAACCCACGAATGTCTGCAGTACAGTTAGAACATAGACAACTGGACTTGAATTGGGTTGAATTTTGGCTCAGGCAGAAGCTTAGCAAACTGGAAAAAAGTTCTCTTTTCCCTTCTTTACTTCAAAGCATTTGATTTCTATCACTGAGCCCAGAATAAATAAGCACATACACTGGCGGTTATAGGAGCAATAGAAGGCCTGTCTGTATCATTCTTTAGCTAACTGCTCCATTTGTTTGAGGGGTTTCCACTAGATTTCCTTGATTTCCCATGAATTTGTGCTAGGATACATAACCAGAGGGGCTGTTTTTCTCAACTCACAATATCTTCCGTGAAATTCTCAAATGTCAACTTATCAAGTGTTCAGTCGAAAATATTATTAATTAAATTCCTTCTCAGTGCCAATTCTTTATTGCCTGATACAAGAGAAAAAATGTCTGTCCTCAAGCACAGGCTAAGAAATAAAAGTGTGTTGACAAAGGTGCACGGGTGAGCTAAAGAATGAGCAAGGAGCTGGGGCTTCATTTTGACTCTAAAGTCGATGAATTCTTTCAGTCTCTACTACCTTCCCAAATGAGGGCCTTGGTATTTTCTGTGTCATAAGTAACACAGTCTGGGTCACAGGAGTGGAGGGTTCTCCCCCAAAGGATGGCCACTGCGGGGAGCCGGGGCGAACGCCATTACAAGATGGCGCCCACTTCCTTGCAGCTTTGAGGTAAACAACTCCATATTAGGCAGTGCTTGGCGGGACTGTGGGTCCCGGGCTTTGCATGAGTCCCCAGCCAATCCCGTGGCACCTGGTGACGGTGAAAGGCAGACGACCAATGATAGAACGACCCGTGTTCCTATTCCATATATAAGCGGCCACGTTTCTGTACACGGGGCCTCTCGCTCAAGCTTTCCTATCAACTCAAAAGCTCTCCAATAAAGTGTGATCTGAGAAGACTCCTGGTGTGGTGGTCGTTCTTCCTCGCTGGCCGAGAAGGCGCTTGCCGCACAGGAGGGAGTTGGAAGAATGGAAACTCTCTCCAAAGAGGACAACACTTTCAGAAACCAAGAAAATTATTTTGTTTCGGATTATTGTTTCTTTTCAGAAACATGTCTCCTCCTGCATTTCCTTCTTGCAGTGGTTTTCTTGTCTGTCAGGACCCATGGAAGTGCGTTCTCTCAAGCCTCATCCCCCCTTCCTTTGCTTTCTCTTGGGCATCAAGCTGGTGCTTGGGCCTGAGCCCTGTAGAGCCCACAGGTGGCCTTTCCTTGTGGTGTAACACTTCAATTTGAATAGATGTCATTAAGTTGTCAGCTGATTCTTTTGTGGGGAGGTGATTTCTACACTGTCGCTTTAATAAAAATGTAGCTATCTTCAAAGATGAAAAAGTGACTCAGAATGAAAAGTTTCTGCATGTTTTGGTAGTTTCTTTTATGTTGTCTATCAAAGTGAATGGTTGTATTAATTCAGGCATGAGAGAACTTGAGCTCATCTTTCAGAGAGAGAGTAGAAAGAGAGGACTGTGAATCTCAGGGAACAGAGAGTGTCTAATATTCAAATCTTCTGTCTTTGTTGTCACTGTGAAGAGGAAGTTTGCTTTGTCAGACACAGATAATACTTTTTCCCTCTTTCCTCTATCTTGGGATCTTCCAGTAGCCCAGATATCTAAGTCCTATTATCAGAGGAAGACCACTAGCTAGCAATCCCTTTTTCTCTTTTTGACTTTCACTTTGTAAAACTGAATTGTCTGTCCCTTTGAAGTTGCCATTGAGAAGAGAAGGCATCTGTTGGTTCACCCTGGATTAACGTGAAAATTTCTCTCCTCTTGGTTCTTTTTGTCCTTGTTGAGCACCACACAGCAGACCTGAGTGGAGATGACAGAATCTCCCTTTGGGAAGAGTAAGGGTGTTGAGAAGAGAGGTGTGAAAGTCCTCCCACCAAGTAGAATTCCAGAGAAAGACACCACAAGGTGCCCATTGGAACAATGTTTATGTCTGAGGAGGGCGGGTCTCTGCCTGGCTTGTTCACCAAATGTGTGTTTCATCCCTATTGGGGCCACTTATCTGCCCTGGAAGCAAAATCACAGGCAGCCAAAAGACCTTGTCTTGGATCAGCGTGATCCATGGATAAAACAATGCACTTGATTGAAATGCCGATGGTTAAATGCTGTTAATTTCCCTTACCTGATGGCAGGGAAGGGCCAAAATTGCTTTTCAGTAAGTGTATAAATCAATTATGCTTGCATGTTTAAAAGAAACAGCTTTGCAACCAGAATGTTAATTAAAATTGATTAAGTTGGACAAACATCTTGGTAGGCTTAATGGGCCTGAACATGCTTTTGATAGAACGAGCAACATCAGTGGTAATCACTGAGGGCTTTCGACCAACTGTTACTTGGCCTCCAGTTCGTTTGTAATCCCTGATGCTTCTATCATGAAGGGGAAGGTGTGGCTTGTAAACTGTAGAAACTTAGTTCTGACTACTCTAGAAGCCAGAAGTGTGAGGTCAAGGCACTGGTAAGGTTGGGGTTGTTGCAGGCCTTCTTGATGGTGGTAGACTGCTTCTTCTCCATGGAAGAAGACAGGGCTAGCCATCTGCCCAGTTCTTCTAAAGACACCAGTAGAACTCCTGAGGACCACACCCTCGTGACCCACTCCTGTTCCAGTGCCCTACCTCCAAGTACCAACCCAGGAATTGGGGCATTCCGTCCACAACAACGTGGAGAGCGAGGCACCATCACCTGAATGAGCAGCTGCTGTGGGGTGAGCCCATCGCGGAGTCCTACAGGGTTTACATTTCAAACTTAACACCCTTTCCTGCACTCGAGATCATATCATCTGTGTCACACACATGAAAAACATCAAAGATAGAATTAGACAAATTCATAATCACACCTATATTTATAGATTCCTTTTCTATCATTGGCTGTATGACTAATAATGCGGAAAATTCAAGTAAGATTATTGGCTTTCTAATGACTAGTTTGTAGAACATAAAACCCAACTGCAAAATGTATGACTAAGACATAATGTATACTGGTCCCTCAACGCAGTTGAGAAGGTTGAACTAAGTTAGAAAAAATAAAATCTTACACCCTGATGTTTGACTACACCAAAACCAAAACTTCTTAGCAATTAATTTGAACTAAAAGAATTGAAAGGCAGAAAACCGTTCCTGTCCAGATTGCCGACACTCATGGGCAGGGAGAAGGAGAACAGAGAGGGTGAAGGAGAACAAAAATGGATGAAATACTTTATGAGCATGTATAAAAATGGGACGATGAAGCTTCTAGAGATTGGTTTGGGAAGTGGTCAGAGGTGAGCAGATTGAGAGGAGAGCGAGTAAGATATGGGTATGTCCAGGGCTGATGTCAACAATAATTAGGAAAATCAATAGAATAGCTTTAAATTATTCTCAGATAGCCAGTGTTAACCTATATGATTTTGAATAACCAAGCAGTCAAATGAGTAGTTATAAGAGAAAAATTTCAATGCTTGCATACCAAAAGAAATGATCTTAACATATTTGGGACATAACCCATTTAGTAACCCTGAGGGGCAACTTGTTGCTATATTAGAATAAAGAAAAGCGTTAAAATCGGTTGTCTTAAGTTTCTAACATAAGAAGCCAGGAGAAGTTGAGAAAATTAGAATCAAACCAGAAGAAAGGAATGGATACAAATGATGAAAGAGACCGGTACTTTAGAAATCAACTTGGAGACTAAATCATTAAAGCCAAAACTTAATTCTTTTATTTTAAGAGTTTCAAAGCGGGCTGGGAAGGTGGCTCAGTGATAGAGTGCTTGCCTTGCATGCCTGAGGCCCTGGGTTCGATTCCTCAGCACCACATAAAGAAAAAAGCCGGAAGTGGCACTGTGGCTCAAGTGGTAGAGCGTTGGCCTTGAGCTGAAGAGCTGAGGGACAGCGCCCAGGCCCAGAGTTCAGGCCTCACGACAGGACCCAAAAAAAAAAAAAAAGAAGAGTTTCAAAGTTCCTAAACTGATGACCCAGAAAGGCAAATAAAAAAGTTAATTGTCAAGAACCCACACTAACAGAGTAACTGAGAGTGATTGAGTACAGACTCTAAAGACATTAACAAGATCAGTCATAAATTACACAAAGACAAAATGATTTAAAATTCAGATTAAATGGAAGACTGTCTTGAAAACACAATGTACCAAAACTAATACAATGGAAAGTTTAAAGGTCATTAAATTTGTTTTAAAAATTCTTCCCACAAAAGGGTACTTTGTATACAAATGATTTTTGTGTGAATCCTAGTAACTGAACACTTTAAGAAAATAAAATCACAGGAACTGCTCGAACAGTAACCATCATTGTGAATGGGTAAAAGTATTCCATTTGTAGAAGAGGGTGAACAGGCTGGCGCTATCACTGGAGCTGTGGCTCACTGGTAAGAGTGCCTGCCTGCCAAGTGCAATGTCCAGAGTTCAAACCTAAGCATCACCAAAAAACAAAACTGTTGGAGCCAGAGCCCGACACTGTAGGCTCACTCTTGTGAACCTAGCTACTCAGAAGGATGAGATCTGAAAATCAAGGTTCAAAGCCTAGGCAAGAAAGTCAGTGAGACTCTTATCTCCAATCAGCCATTAGAAAACTAGAAGTGACACTGTGGCTCAAAGTAGTAGAGCGCTCACCTTGAGCAAAAGAGCTCAAGGACAGCACCTAGCCCCTGAGTTCAAGCCCCATAGCCAACAACAACACAATAACAACAAAAGCCTTGGATCTATAAATCAAAGGCAAAATCCCTATTATGTATATCTCTAGCTGCAAAAGAATGAGAAATATTGGGAATAAAGAGGAAAAATAGCTATTCCAGGTAACATTTTACCAAATTGCAGGGAACCGCAATATTATCAAATTCTGAGAATACAAAATTCAAATAAAAGGTAGTCTTGAAACAGGGAGATACTATAAAGGTACAGTCTCCAGTTTAACAGTCATGAAAAGCTGTGAACTGTAGCATCTCCTTGAAATAAATTAGAAATTATTAAAATGTTCTGGTGCATTGACAAACCTGCAATGAATACACTTTTGCCATCAACAAACCAAACTTGTGAGTCCCTTAAGTGTTTACCACAGCAGGTTACTTCAACAGATGGGTGTAGAGATTACCCATTGTTTTTAGTATGAAATAATCTATCTATCTATCTACCTATCTATCTATCTATATCTATATCTATCTATCTATCTATCTATCTATCTATCTATCTATCTATATATATAGTATGAAAATCTGTATGTTGTAGGAAAAGCAGAGCACACCCAAGGGGGGGGGGAATGTCAAAAGAAAAATAGTAAAAAAAAAAAAAAAAGAAAAGAAAAATAGTAGAGGTCAAAATCTTTGATCAAACCCAATAAAATTAAAAATGGCAAGGACCAACTCACACTAATCTCCTTTTGGAATTTTAAATCTAGATATCTGAATTATTCTTGTATTGAAAGCAAATGGAAATTGAAATGATAGGTGTGTGTGTGTGTGTGTGTGCAACTTGAACTCAAGGCCTCTTATTCTTGCTTATCATTTCCTAAAGGCTGGTGCTCTACCACTTGAACCATACCTCCACTACTGGAAATGCTAGGGTTTTAGAAAAGAGTCACAATGAGTAGCTATGAAAGAAAATCTGTGTGATTTGGCTAAAGCAGCAACTAGTAGAATATTTATGTCCTTGAATCCATTCAGTAGAAAATACCAAAGACTATAATAAAAAAAAACAATGAAGAAAAGGGGAAATATATGTTTCAATAAATAAGAAAGGAATTGCAAAAGTTTAGTTAGACAATAATAATAATATGGAAAATGAACATAATACTGTAATAGTAAACCTAAAATTTATACTTTAAGATTTTGCAAAATGTGCAACCTCAAAAGAGTCATCTAAGGGAAAAAATAACATTAAATAACAACAGAAAAATAACACTAAGCACAAGAAGAAATTATTTCAGATAGGGGATTTTTAAAATTATAAGAGATTTTATGTAGGATATTTTATATTTGGAAACTTACATGACCATATTTGTTTTCCAGGAGCATTAGCAAAATTGACTCAGATATAAAACTATGAAACTAGGTAGAATTATGACATATCTGCTCCTAGCCTCGGTCAGGAATAAATTTACACATGCATAAATCCTGAGCACTGTTTTCTGGACCTCAGTTTCTATGAAAGATGAGATAATCATGGTATCTACTATACACAGTAATTGTGACATTAAAATGAACTATAAAATGCACAGATTCCTCAGAACAGCAATTATTACGATCACCACCAAGCCACCCCCACCATAAGCATCCTCATGGCAGTTGCCATCGACATGACTGTCACCATCTCCATTAACGTGATCATCTCCATCATCACTGCCTGGGTGACCATCCTCCTAACCACTGCCCACCATGTCACCGACACCATTATCATCACTGCCACCATAGCAGCAAACCATTACACAGATCTATACCTAAGAAATGATGTCTTGTATAAGACCAGCATTTCCTTGACAATGAGAACTAGCAGGGTATAGAATCAAATAAGACTGAGAGGATGCAGGGGAAAACAGAGATGGTGACAAGCTAAGCAAATAGCTGTGTCACTGTGTCACAATGCTATGACAAGAGACCTCTTAACTCGGTAGAAAAGGGCTTTCTCTTCTGTCCCTTGCCTTCCTAAGCAGGAAGCTTCCAGAAGTGGTACATGCCTCCAGTAGACTTTATGTGCTCCAAAGCGGGTATGCCGCTCTTGTTTGCATCAAAGCAGTTTAGCATGGGCCTGCCCGCAGGGCTAGTCAACAATCTGCATGTTCAGTGTGCATGCAACCTTTTAGCAGTCCTATAATTGCTAATAAATGTGCAAAAAAATAAGATTATCAGGCCGCCTATTTGAAAACACTGTGACACCTAGGAAATAACTCAGTGCCCATTCATCCCTGGGTCAGGTTTAAGCATTGGTTTGAACGTGTTTCGATGGCTCTTGCTTGTTGTGTGGCGTCTGGCCATTTCTCCTGCTGTAGCTTGTTGCTGACTTGCATCTGGTTCTTCTATTCTGCTCACTGGCAACTTACGGTAAGGAGCTGGTGAGGTCACGTTTGAGGGGGTCCTTCCTCTTCTCAGCTCCACCTCTTTGGTTTCTTCTTCATCTCCAGCCATTGTCACTGACACAGAGTTCCACTGTGGTCTCAGACTCCTCCTTGGATATTCCATTTCTATTTTATCTTTGATTATTCATTGTGCCCCAGACCTTTGCATACTCCAACCACTTCTGTCCTTAATGCAATTTAAAGGAGTTTGAATCAATTATTTAGAAGACATCTCAGAAACATATCTGGTTCTTGTAAATGAATCTATAATGCACTAGGGACAGAATTTATCTCGTGGGCTTATCCACATGGTGCTTTCACGTTTGTTGGCTTGGTCAAGCATGCCCCAGGGCCTGACCTGTGAAACCTTGGGAGACTCTCAGGAAACATATGACACTATCTGTGCAGAACAGAGTTGAGTGTGGTGGATGGGATGGGTGAGGGGAGGACTTGGTGTATCCAGGTCGGCAGGTGGAAGGGCAGCCTGAGCCTCAAAGACATCACGGTGGGGCTTGCTGGAGGCGGTAGCTGCCAGGTTTCCAGTGGCAGGAAGAAGACACAGAGATGGAGGTCATGCCCAGCCCATGCATGACCCACATAGAGGAGTGTCTAGATCTTTTTCTCTCTCAGAGAACTGCTGTTTACAGGACAAGGTCAATAAATTGTAGCATGTTCATCTACCACAACTGCAGATCCTCTTCCACGAATGTATGCTTCGATTTGTTTTAGCTCCCTTTTCATTTAAAAGAAACAACTTAGCAAGGACCACAGTGTTCATTTAATTAAGTCCCAGTGAAGTCAAACATTAGCACACAGAATGAAAGATCTGGAAGGATCTCCATCTCAGCCTGTCTTTGTTTGTTGGCAGAACTTCTGTCCTTGGGATTTCCTTTGGAGTTGCATTTCTCTCACTCGCCTTCATCCTTTTCGTCTGTTTTGCCGGACAGCTCTTGGTAAGTACTTCAAGCACAGAACTCTTTGAAGTCCTTTCATTTTGTTTTTAAAAATGTGTTTCTTGTTTTAAAACAAGGAGCTTGTTGATTTACCTAGTGAACAATCAAGAGGATAATTTGATGATTGTTTAGACTATTGAGTGCCTTTTTCCCCATTTGAGTTAAGGCTTCACAAGGTAATCAAGGTTCAGACTTGTGATCTTCCTGCTGCAGCCTCATAGGTAACTAGGATTACAGTGGTACACAGAGATGCCTGGTTTAAATGATGTATGTCACACTTATAAGTTCATGGCTTTGTTTGTTTCTGTCAACATTTTTTTTATCATCTCTAAGTTTTCATAGTACTTGTGGTAGTGAAGAATATGACGCTTGGAAGGAACTGAAGAATTAAAATTTAAACCACATACATCTTTTATATTTTAGAATATATGAAGATAGCAAATATTAAGCTATCTTTTAGTGAGGCACGGTGCCTCGAGGCTGTAATCCTTGCTATAAGTCCTACTTAGGAGGCAGAGGCCAGGGGATCAGAAGTCAAGGCCAGCTTGGACAAAAAAAAATTCATGAAACTCAGTCTCAACCAATAGCAGTATGGAGTAATAGACTCCTTTCCAAAGCAGGTCAACACAAGTAGGCGTGTTACAGCTCAGTGAAACACTATCTCAAAAATAACTAATATGGATGGTGCAAGAGATAACACTGATTGAGTTGCATTGTACTCTTAATCAGACATATGGAATGAAAACCCCTTTCTAGAACTACTTAAATCTAATCATGAAAAAAATGTAACCAATACAAAATGGGCCTGGAGGTATGGTTCAAGTAATGGAGCATCTGAGTTCATAATTCTGAGTTCAATCACCACTACTTGTAAAAAATAATTAAGTGTTTTAATTTAGGCCAGGTATTTTCAATGTTTGTGATTTAAATATTGGTTCCCCATAAAAAAGTTACATGTTAGCTTATTCCTGAGCGTGAAGTAGGGCTGTTCACTGCCACAAACTGTGGGAACAACACTAAGGAAGCCGGTAAGGGGACAGAATTTCCTGAAGAGGACTCAGTGTTCAGTTTGCTCGAGAGAGAAGCAGTGAAACCAGCGAGGCTGCCCGGATTCCCTACACTCCTACCCATGTCTGCCCCGGGCTCCCCTGAAGTTCCCCCCTACACTCCTACCCATGTCTGCCCCAGGCTCCCCTGAAGTGCTCCCCCCTACACTCCTACCCATGTCTGCCCCAGGCTCCCCTGAAGTTCCCCCCCTACGCTCCTACCCATGTCTGCCCCGGGCTCCCCTGAAGTGACCCCTACACTCCTATCCATGTCTGCCCCAGGCTCCCCTGAAGTTCCCCCCCTACGCTCCTACCCATGTCTGCCCCGGGCTCCCCTGAAGTGACCCCTACACTCCTACCCATGTCTGCCCCTGGCTCCCCTGAAGTGCTCCCCCCTACACCTCTATCCATGTCTGCCCCGGGCTCCCCTGAAGTGCTCCCCACCTACACTCCTACCCATGTCTGCCCCGGGCTCCCCTGAAGTGCCCCCCTACACTCCTACCCATGTCTGCCCCGGGCTCCCCTGAAGTGCCCCCCTACACTCCTATCCATGTCTGCCCCGGGCTCCCCTGAAGTGACCCCCACCCCCGCACTGTGAGATCTTCCAGAGTGGCTCCCTGAAAACCTTCCTGGACTCTGTACTCATCTCCTGTGATGACTCTTCTTGGGTATCACAGGACAGATCATCTTTGCTGAATGGGTTAGCCTCCATTATTTTAACATCATCTCTAAGCCTCTACTTTTTTCCCCTCTTCTTTGCTTTGTATACAGTAAGTTCCTAAAGACAAGAATGGGTTTGTAAGCTTTCTCTATTTCCCACTGACCAAATGCTGTCCTTATACACTTGTTTAAGAACCTGGTGCTAAGTAAAGTCCTTGCAGACCTCTGGTATTATTTCCACGGGGCCATTTTTGCATTCTCTCTCCCTCGCTTTTCTCTCCCTCTCTCCCTCTCTCCTCTAATTGTGCAGAGCTCCTCCCTCACCTCTGCTCAGGCAGAGTTAGACATGCCCAAGGGCTATGTGAATGTTTCTTTCTATGAGGTTCTAGCCTGGGGATAAGCTCCTCGTATAACTGAATGCATGAAGGACAATAGAATGGAAAATCATAGCTCCCCTCATGCACCTCAATATTAGCTGCTCATGTGCACTGAAATTTGCTAGCTCTAGCTTCAGACTATTCCTTCAGCTGGAACCCTCGTGAGTGCATGCTGAAGAACCCAGGCCTCCTCAGCAAGCTGCCTCAGTGCTGGCTGTCACAGCTTCTGGTTTGTATTAGGATGTTTGCTCTGCTGGATGGAGGCATCGGCAGTTGAGTTCATCTCAGCTCCGCTTTGCTGGCTGCTGTTCTTAGGACACCTGAAAGACCCAATAAATAATATCAGAAAGCTTGACAACACACCAAGTGGCACCCAAATACAATTTCCTGGAGTCATGAGTCAGAAACTTTCTGCCCCTGTCCTGGTCCAGATCAGACATCCTGTGAGCTTGTAGCTCTGTGTTCATTACTGTGAGCCTTGCTGCCAGTCCCTGCCCAGCTCCCGCCTCCATGCCTGTCAGGCCTGGGTCCATAGATCGCTCTGTCCCCCGCATATTCAGGAGGGGCTCTCCTGTATCTGATGCCGACTAGTACTTCACAATGTCAGAACTCTAGAGTAGAAAGGGAACCAGAGGTAGCCCTGTTCAGACCCTTCATTTTGGACCAGGAATCAATCCAGAACTCCAGAATAGTTCAGTGCACTGGCATGAATTTCCCTTCCCGTCATTCATGATAATGCTTCCTCATAAAAAATAGTGCAGAAAGAGTGGTCGTTGAACCCCGTAGGATAGAATGGACACACAGAGCAGAATCATCAACGTGATGCCTGCACAGCTTGCGTGAATTTCCTGTCCTTTGGTGAGAAATGTTCAGGACGGAGCTGGGTGCTGGCAGCTCATGCCTGTAAAGTCTGTGAGAGTTTTATCTCCCATGATACACCAAAAAGCCAGAAGTGGAGCTGTGGCTCAAGTGACAGAGCACTAGGCTTGAGCAAAAGAGCATGGGGACAGCACCCAGGCCCTGAGTTAAAGCCCTGGGGTAGGAGGTAGGAGGAAGAAAGGAGACAGACAGACAGACGACAGACAGAGACAGACACAAAGAGAGACAAAGACAGAGAGACAGAGAAACAGGAAAAAGAAAGGAAGGGAGGGAGGGAAGGGGAGGGAGAAAGGAGAAGAGAAGAGAGAGGAGAAGAGGAGAGGAGAAGAGAGAAGAAGAGAATAGAAGAGAGGAGAGGAGGGGAGAGGAGAGGAGAGGAGAGGAGAGGAGAGGAGAAATCAAGATAGTTCTGAGCTGCTGGTGGCAGGCAAGGTCCCCATGAGTGGCTCCAAATGCAACCTTATCACAGTGACACAATAATGCATTAAAAATGCCTACTTTCTTGCCTAGCCACTGGGCATAGACTGGCTTGATTATTCTCATAAGAGCCTTTGGAGACAATCCAACCGAACGTTAAGGTCAAGGAGGCTTACGGGTACTTTGTAATTCTCCCACTGTGTACAGCCAAAGGTATGGTGTCAAAATGGAGGCACGCCTTGGAGGCTTGTCATTAGAAGTGGGTTCAGGAGGGTCAGCTTGTGTGCGAGGTCACCAGCACCAGGGCCCCAGGATTAGGCAGGGCTGTCCGTGGAACTCACCTAGGGATCAGACTCCCTCCATCACACTGGCCAGAAATCCAATGAACAGTCCTCTCTGCAGGGGCAGAGTCATTACACTGCTGTAGTGAAGCAGGAGTGCATCTCAGAAGGTGGTACACGCACTGAAAACACGAAGGTAGATTGACAACTGGATCTTAACTTTAAAATATTCTAATAAGAAAATACCCTTATCAATTACTTTATAAATGGTTTCTGTGTGCACGGGTGTCTTTCAAAGTATAATCTAAAATAATTCCAGGTAGCACAGTGCATTATCTGTAAGACCTATATAAAGAGACAGATATTATAAAACAATCCATCCAGGTATACAATAACTCTAGCCTGGGAGATTGTAATTCAGGTTTACGTTTTTGTTAGAACTGGCAATAAGAAATTCTGGTTGTTACTTTGGAAATAATAGAAACAGGCCAAGTTGCTGTTACATTGAACTTCTAAACTACTGAGCTGGACTTACATCTCCAATAGGCTTCTAACCAAAATAAATTAGTCATCTTTAGAGCACACAGGGTGGAAACAGGTAATGAAAATCCCAAGGAAGCTTTCGTCACTTGTGCTGTGACTAGCTGAGAAGCAGAGACCCCACAATGCCAGCACCCCCACACCCTCTTTTTTCCAGGCAGAGATGAAAGGCTAACACAGAAGTCATGCTAAGAAGGCAAAGTAGGTCATACACAGGCCACTGCAAAAGCACTCAACTCCACAGGAGAGCTTTCCCTGGAAGTCTGTTTCTCTAATGTCAGGTACAATGCTTGTAGCCTTCTTTGGGTGGAATTGGAAGATGAACCTTCTTCTGTGTTTTACCCTCACATTCACCTGGGAGATTTGTATGTTTTATTTGTATCTCTGGCAGATAACATCCCAACTGCATGTCATTTCTCTATCCCCCCAAAAAAAACCCTCCCTTTTACTGAACAAGGGACATCCATTTATGTGTCTAATCTTATTTATTACTGCTGTGATCTTCTTTCTGTGCCCCTGGCATCTCCCTCATGCTCTATTTACTCATTCGTGGCTGACCTTTGCTCACATGAGCCACCCTTCCGATTCCAGCTTCTAACTGGTTATTTGTCTCTCAGACTGACTTTGAACTGTGATCCTCAGATCTCAGCCTCCTGAGTAGCTAGGATGCTACTGGTACCAGCATATAATCTTATTTTTTTTAATCCACCTGTATCCTTTTTGTTTTTACTCCTTTTTCTGCTCTTCTGCCTTCTCTTGACCAATGGAGTTCATTCTTTACATTATCATGAATAACTTAC